GTCAAATCACTAACATGGCAAACAATCATGGGTTTGAGGTGTTTTAGAGTTTGTGATCCCATCACCTTGAAGCCACTAGTTGGTGATTCCCATTGGGTAATCCATTGTGAATCTCATCTCATCATCCCTCGGTTAGAATTTGCTGCCTTTGTCAGAATGGAAATTGGTCTTCTTACTGCATGGACATACAAGGTGCACTTATCAAGACAGATGTGCTCTGGTAAGTGATTCTAAACTTACTAGTCCCTTATATGCTTCTTTATATATAAGTAGTTCCCTTGGGAAGTTATGTAAATATTCAATGTTATTGCCATTTCCTACAAAACCTTTGAAACCCCTAGGGCTATGCAACTCTTATAACTGGAAGGACATGGCCTTTCAATTTGATATCAGCGGGACTTGAGATTGGATCTGCTTCTGCCACATCCTAGTAATGTGGTCTTATGAAAATCACTGAGTGTCACCAGCAAGTAGGGATGATGGATTTTGAAAGAATTTCCCAGAATGATGTTTGGAACATACCAGGCATGCAATAAATGTTAGTTTTCCCTTAGTCTGGAGTTAGCTTTGGATTAAATTTACCAGTCCATTTAGAAAAATCAGTTTCATTGTATTCCAATCACAAACTTCTTTTGATATAGCTTCAGACCCTCAATAAATGTTTATTGAAAGACCAAGCCATAGATGAGAATTCTACTCTGAAAGTTGAAATTTTCAAGTTGTTAAAGGTTGGCAGCTCACCAAAATCTGTGTCTGGTTTTCCAAGAGAGGAATATGCTTTGTATGGTAAATCTCTGGTGTAAATATTTTTTTAAGTCACTTTAGTTTTTTTTTTGTTTTTTTTTTTTTTTGCAGTACGCGGGCCTCTCACTGTTGTGGCCTCTCCCGTTGCAGAGCACAGGCTCCGGACGCGCAGGCTCAGCGGCCATGGCTCATGGGCCCAGCCACTCCACGGCATGCGGGATCTTCCCGGACCGGGGCACGAACCCGTGTACACTACATCGGCAGGCGGACTCCCAACCACTGCGCCACCAGGGAAGCCCCACTTTAGTTTTTAATCATGCTTTGTCTATAAAACCTTTTCTGTAATTCAAGACAGTCTTAATTCCTCACACTGAAGGAAGCCTCCACAACAGAATGAAGAATAAAATATGAGACTCTAGAAACACATAGAGGCAAACTAGGGAGCCCTAATGGCAGAAGAAAAGGCTTCTCACATTATTCGACATTCAATGTAAAAATAGAAATAGTTTCACATACAACACACGTATAGTATTTATTTTGGCCTTTCTAATAAAATATAAGTATCAACATTTTTATCCCCACTTTTACAGAAATGAAAACAAGGCTCAATGAAGTGAAAATACCCAGGTTATAAAAAGAGTGGTGGACCTAGATCTTCCTACACTAATTTCCCCATTGTTTCCACTTGACAATCATTTTATTTCTATTTGGTCAAAGACTGGTCCTGCCATCTCCCCACAGTGTTTGTTGGTGCCAGTTTTTCAATGTGTTTATTTATTTATTTTCCTTAATTGTAGCGTACACACACACACACACACACACACACACACACACACTTTATAATGTTCAAATCTATACACCCAGGCATCAAGAGTTTTACTTCATCAAAATCATTTACATCTTTACACTATAACTTTTCGCTGCATGAGCAGTTTGCAGAAATGACACTATCCCCATCCCCCTGTTCCTGGAATGAAAGCAGAGGGCTTTTTTCATTTCCTGTATCAAAGGGTTTCAGTTTTTCAGGTGAAGGACATAAATGAAGTGTGTTATCTTGGAATAATATTAACATAAGTTAAAATGAGGGATACTTCTCCTTGGAAAGGTTATCCTGATTTCAAAGTTTCAAAAGTAATTAAGAGCACAGACCTGCTTGGGGCCCCATTGGTTGTCTGTGACTTCACTTTTTGTCATTCTGTGTCTGGAAGACAGATGAGGCAGACCATGCAAAATTCCTGATACATTAACTCTTGGGGAGACTTAGACCAAAGTAGAAACTGCTGTTCCATTTGTATGGAAGTAAGGACAAACAGAGCCTGTTTTTCAGCAACATCAAAACATACCGTAACAAGAGAAAATGCATTAGCCTTGTTATTGGGCTCAGATAGACAAAATATTCAGGTTTTTTGATAGAATTCACTCTTATTTTCTACTTGAACACCAAATTCGATTAAAATAAAGTGTGTGTTGATGCCATTTTCCATCAGGACTCATAATTGGAAGCTCTGAGTGTAATACCCCTTTATGCATCAAATCAAAAATAACGATCTTATCTGTAAGACATATAATTTGCCCTTGTCAGTTAAGCAATGGTCGATTTTCTTCTCAATTCTGATTACTCTGAACATAGATAATGAGTTCTCTTTCCAATTTTTGTTGATTTCCTCCTTGTCCTATAGAAAACTATTGATTTCCATTTTCCTGTTCAGTTACTAGATGATTTTATCCTTCCTTTGATTTTACCTAAAGCAAAACATTTTCTTTTCAAATTATGGTTTTCTCTGGGTATATGCCCAGGAGTGGGATTGCTGGATCATATATCATATACAACTCTATTTTTAGTTTTTTAAGGAACCTCCATACTGTTCTCCGTAGTGGCTGCACTAATTTACATTCCCACCAACAGTGTAGGAGCGTTCCCTTTTCTCCACACCCTCTCCAGCATTTATTGTTTGTAGATTTTTTGATGATGGCCATTCTGACTGGTGTGAGGTGATACCTCACTGTAGTTTTGATTTGCATTTCTCTAATAATTAGTGATGTTGAGCATCCTTTCATGTGCTTTTGGGCCATCTGTATGTCTTCTTTGTAGAAATGTCTATTTAGGTCTTCCACCCATTTTTTGATTATATTATTTAATTAATTAATTTATTTTTTGATATTGAGCTGGGTGAGCTGTTTTGTATATTTTGGAGGTTAATCCCTTGTCAGTTGCTTCATTTGCAAATACTTTCTCCCATTGTGAGTGTTGTCTTTTTGTTTGTTTATGGTTTCCTTTGCTGTGCAAAAGCTTTGAAATTTACTTAGATCCCATTTGTTTCTTTTTCTTTTTCTTTTCACTACTCTAGGAGGTGGATCAAAAAAGATCTTGCTGTGATTTATGCCAAAGAGTGTTCTGCCTATGTTTTCCTCTAAGAGTTTTATAGTGTCCAGCTTTACATTTAGGTCTTTAATACATTTTGAGTTTATTTTTGTGTATGGTGTTAGGAAGTGTTCTAATTTCATTCTTTTACATGTAGCTGTACAGTTTTCCTAGCACCACTTATTGAAGAGGCTGTCTTTTCTCCATTGTGTATTCTTGCCTCTTTGTCATAGATTAGGTGATCATAGGCTTGTGGGTTTATCTCTGGGCTTTCTATACTGTTCCACTGATCTATATTTCTGTTTTTGTGCCCCAATATTCACTGCAGCACTACTTACAATAGCCAGGACATGGAAGCAACCTAAATGTCCATCAACAGAGGAATGGATAAAGAAGATGTAGTACATATATACAATGGAATATTACTCAGCCATAAAAAAGAACAAAATAATGCCATTTGCAGCATGGACCTAGAGATTGTCATACTGATTGGAGTAAGTCAGACAGAGAAAGACAGATATCATATAATAGCGCTTATAGGTGGAATCTAAAGAAAAGGGTACAAATGAACTTATTTACAAAACAGAAGTAGAGTCATGGATATAGAAAACAAACTTATGGTTACCAGAGGATAAGGGGGACAGGGATAAATTGAGAGATTGGGATTGACATATATACACTACTGTATATAAAATAGATAACTAATAAGAACCTGCTGTATAGCACAGGGAAATCTACTCAATACTCTGTAATGGCCTATATGGGAAAAGAATCTAAAAAAGAGTGGATATATGTATATGTATAACTGATTCACTTTGCTGTATATCTGAAACTAACACAACAATGTAAATCAACTATACTCCAAAAAAAAGCAAAACATTTTCCGAATGTAACACAAAAAAATCCTTGGGAAAAAAAGGAATCTGGGCCACTTAAATGGATAAATGTTTTGGTGGCAACTCAGTTATCCTCTCTTTTGAGTTATCCATAGTGAATAGGGTAGTGAAATAGTGAACTTGTCATTCCCTACTCTCCACCCCCAGCCTTCATTGTTACACACATACAGGAACCATCTGTATTACAATCAATACAGAATTTAGGTTTGGGGAGTAGAATTTAACCAATGGTGAGAAAATCAAGTTTTGTTTCCACAAAATAAAACAAACCTAAAAATACAAAGCACACCCCACATATACTTGCATACACACACATACAATATATTCTCTGATGAGATGTATAATAAGTGGGATTATTTTTATTCCATGAGAATTTTTGCATGAGGAAAGGTGATTCAGGATGAGAGAAGGCCCACACTCCCCAGGGTTTGCAGCAAGAGAGGCGTGACTGCAGTGGAGATGGAGACGCCCAGCTGTGGTCATCAGGCCCTCTGCATATCCTAGAACTGCCAAAAGCGGCTCATTGTAAACTTTTACAATAATGTCCCTAAATGAACTACACCTTCCTGTGTCCATGACCCTTTGAAATGTGACTGAGCCACTGAGGGGATCTCTTCTCTAAAGGGCAGGTCTATTTTCCTATCCTTTGAATCTGGTCTGGCCTCAGGACTTGTTTTGACCAACAGAATAAGGTAGAAGTGATATACAATTGCCATGGGTAGGCATTTGGAGGCTTACAGCTTAAGTCTTTGCCCTCTTGAAACTGTTTCCTGAGACCACAATATTGAGAAGCAGCCCCGGATAAAACATCTCATGATGGAGATCCTCAGTGGTCCCCTGTCCCAGATGAGCCAGCACCCAGCAAAGCCATCAGATAAATGTCATTACCAAGCCATCAGATAAATGCCATTGCATGTGAAAGCCCAGGTGAGATACAGAAGAATTACCCAGGAAACCCACTGAAGTGTGAGACATAATAAATCATTGCATGTCTTTCTTTAACTTTTTATTTTGAATTAATTTTAGATTTATACAAAAATTGCTAAAATAATATAGAAAATGTCCATAGACCCTTTACTGAGCTTCCCTTAATCTTATCATTGTATGCCACTGTAGTGCAGTGATGAGAACCAGGAAATTGATACTGTCACCTGAAGACCTTAACCAAATCCCACCAGTTTTTCCACTAGTGTCTTTTTTGTTTCCTGTATCAAAGGGTGTCAGTTTCCACATTGCATTTAGTTTTTGTCCCCTCAGTCTCCTCCAATCTATAGCAGTTCCTCAGTCATTCCTTATCTTTTATGACTTTGACATTTTGAAGAGGACTGGTCAGTTATTTGGCAAAATGTCCCTCAGTTGGGGTTTGGCTGAGATTTTGCATTTTAGGAATGACGTGAAGCCCTTCTCCGTCCATCATATCAGAAAGTGCAGCATTTGAAGTTGGCTTATTACTAGTGCTGTTCACCTTGATCTACTGGTCAAGGTGGTTTCTTTCTGATTTCTCCATTTTTATGTTATTGTTCTTCCTTTAAAGCTAATAAATATCTTGGGACATATATTTTGGAATATGAATATGATTGTTTTAAGCTACTAAGTGGTTTGTAACTAATAGATAATAGATGGAAGGATGGATGGATGATAGATAGATAGATAAAATAGATAACTGATACAAGGCGCAAGACAGGCTGGGACTTCTTCTGGCGGGGCGAGGCAGTGTGATGCAGGGGATGGAAAAAAGAGAAAGCTCCATGTAAGCTTGAGTGTCTGTGGCAGTTTCGTGGGTGAAGAAGTTAGAGGCATTCTGGTGCAGCGATATAATTTCAAGACCTAGAAAAGAAAGAAAAGACATTTTTTCTTTTTAAAATAAGAGCTTAAAGTGGGTTTTGACTTGACACTTGAGTAAGGGATTGAAATAATTTTAAAATTGAATAAAATAGAATAATTTTAAAATTAATTTTGGGTAATTTCAGTACAATTCTATACCAAGACTAGGGCATATAGAGTCCTAGGGTTTCAGATCTGAGGGGTCTTTTTCTCCCCTTAATTGGTAGCTATAGGGTGCTGAGGCAGTGGGCAGAGCCAGACATCCTTTTAACAATGTAACAAAGCTGTTATCTTCATCACTCTATTTGTATAAGATGAATGGGAGTCTACCTATTGGACAGAGTTCTGCCATCCATGGGTAAAAAGCAAGGCAGGAGTGTGAGTCAGAATTTCCTTTCTTGGAGGGAAGGAGGCTGAACTCCCTATTGCTTTGTAATGGGACCTGTACAAGAAGGACCTGGCATGACATGGAACATGAATAACCCTCACTGTGGCCAATGAGAGAAAAAACGGACAGGCATCTAGGAAGTTGTGAGTAGGATCACAGGTTTTCTATATATAACAAATGGTTATTGAATTGCCTGGCACTGGAGATACAGCAGAAAGACAGACAGACAAGTTCCTTGCATTCATGGCTTTTCTATGCTAGTGCAAGAGAGTTTCAACAAACAAGTGCATCATTTGATATCTACTTCAGACAGTTCAATGCAGTTGTAAAGACAAGTAAAGTTGGGCAGAAGGAAAGAGAGTGAAAAGGTAGGGGAAGTTGCCGCTTTAGAAAGAGAGGTCAGGGAAGACATGTTGAGGATGTGACATCTGACTCCACAGGTGATAGAAAGCCATCAAGAGAGGACAATGGAGACCAGGCTGTGATGGTGACCCAACAGGTAGATGAAGCCCTGGGAGAAAAAGCCTGAAGGCATGAAACATGGCACCATGTAGAGTTACAGGGCAGGTAACATGCATTGAGGAAGATCCTTGGCAGATAACAGAGCCAGCTGTGGTCCTAAGACAGGGGACTCAGGTTGGGATCTGTGCATCACCTGGGTCTGCAGATAGACTTGAGGGTGTCCATGAACTTGAATGAGAAAAGGCTTAAACTGAATTGGATGTTAATACTATAGTATGGAAACAGATCAGTAGTTTCTAAACATTTCATCAAGAACACTTTCCTTTTTTAAAAAATGAAACCTACATAAATATTACTATGAAAATAAAAATACAGCACTTCTTTCGTTGAAGTAAGTGTCACGATCTCAGATATGCTCACACATGGGCTCTCCTTGAAAGCCCAGTTCTTCATGGAACATAGTTTGAAATCCTCTGTATTAGCACTTCTCGCATTTCCCCAGGCAAATACTATGCTGTCCACAAGGCTGTGAGTAGAAATACCAAGAGGTTTGGCCATGGCAGATGGGGTGATGCACAATAAGGAGGTGGGCAGGTCATGCAAATTGGTGTCCTCCCCGGGGTAAGTGAAGAGTTAAGTGGTGATTCTGTATGTCCCTCCCCAGATTTCCTTCTGATCAGCCTCACTGTGGCCAGATGCCTGACAATGTCCCAGAGTAGCCAGATATCTGTCAGGTCTGGACTGTCCCAAACTATCTTGAGCTAAGCATTTTTCAAAAAGTGTGTGTGGCTTAGAAATGCGGACACAGAATTTTATGCTGTATATATATTACCACAATAAAAGAAAAAATAAATGCAGAAACTACTGATCAAAGGCATAATGCAATTTACCTAGCTTGAGAAAGCAATTTGCTCACTACTCCATAAGACCATACCATTATCCATGGACATAAAAATCACTTCCCAAGCTTTCTGTGCTGTGTGTCTTTGGGAAGAGATGACATGGGAAAAAGTAAGTGGAGATGTGAGGCAGCTTTTCCCAGTCCCTGACTGTAGTTTGCTTACTTAATTTACAATGAACTCATTTTTTTTAAATGGCTGTCACTAGAATTTAGATCTTTGGTAATAAATCCCATCACTAAATATTTCCTTCGATTTTGTTAAAAGTGTTTTGTTTTCAATGTGAAGTCTTTAAGGAGCCATCTATATTTTTAAAATAATGTGAGAATGAATAGTTGTAAGTTCCTGTCCTTAAGTTTCTTAAGTGAAGAATTATCGCAATTGTGTTTCTGGAAAGTGCACACAAAAAACACAAATCTCAGATCCTTCACGAGTCTGTCATGAGCTTTTCAGTGGTTAATGTAAAAAGGAGATGGAATTTACCCAAAATAAGAGAGAATTTTCTGATAGAATTTTCTAAGGAGGAAAATAACAAAAAATAATCTTAGTAAGTTTTCTGTTACTAGAGAGGATTTAAGAATAAAATTTTTTTAATGCAAGAGCTGTTAGACTTTACAATGTAAACTAATTAAAGGCTTCCCAGAGTAGTGCATTCAGTTTCCTTTTTAGCCCCTTTTGCCAACTATCTGTTCCCCAAAAGATGATTAGAAGAACTTATTGATCAGACGAAGCTAAGATTATTAGACTTATTGCAGGAAGGTAGAATACCACCTTTACAGGACTTAGTAGTGTCTCAGTCAGGAAAAAGAAAGGGAGGATATGAATGTGTGAATGGTGTTTTAGGGCTCGGCAGGTCAGTTTTAAGGTGGGTTGGGAAGATGCAGAACTGATTGGATCTGCGGGTACATGCCCAGGAGTGGGATTGCAGGATCATATGGTATAACAGCTCTATTTTTAGTTTTTTAAGGAATCTCCATACTCTTCTACACAGTGGCTGTACCAATTTAGATTCCCACCAAAAGTGTAGGAGGGTTCCTTTCTCTCCACACCCTCTCCAGCATTTATTGTTTGTGGATTTTTTGATGACAGCCACTTGGACTGGGGTGAGGTGATAGCTCAACGTAGTTTTGACTTGTTTTTCTGTAATAATTAGTGATGTTGAGCATCTTTTCATGTACCTCTTGGCCATCTGTATGTCTTCTTTGGAGAAACGTTTATTTCAGTCTTCTGCGCATTTTTTGATTGGGCTGTTTGTTTGTTTTTTTTTTTCTGTACACGGGCCTCTCACCGTTGTGGAGCACAGGCTCCAGACGTGCAGGCCCAGTGGCCATGACTCACGGGCCCAGCTGCTCCACGGCATGTGGGATCTTCCTGGACCAGGGCACGAACCCGTGTACCCTGCATCGGCAGGCGGACTCTCCACCACTGCGCCACCAGGGAAGTCCTGGGCTGTTTGTTTTGATGATATTAAGTCACATGGGCTGTTTGTAAATTTTGGTGACTAATTCCTTGTCAGTCACACCATTTGCAAATATTTTCTCCCATTCTGTGGGTTGTCTTTTCATTTTGTTTATGGTTTCCTTTGCATATATCCAGAGAAAAACATGGTCCAAAAGGATACATGTACCCCAATGTTCATTGCAGTACTGTTTACAATAGCCAAGACATGGAAGCAACCTAAATGTCCATCAACAGAGGAATGGATAAAGAAGATGTGGTACATATATACAATGGAATATTACTCAGCCACAAAAAAGAACAAAATAATGTCATTTGCAGCAACATGGATGGACATAGAGATTGTCATACTGAGTGAAGTAAGTCAGGCAGAGATGGTGAAGTATCATAAGATATCTCTTATATGCAGAATCTTAAAACACATGATACAAAATAACTTATTTACAAAACAGAAACAGACTTGCAGACTTAGAGAATGAACTTATGGTTACAGGGTGGGGGAGGGTGAGAGGAAGGGATAGTTAGGGAGTTTGGGATTGACATGTACCAGCTACTCTATTTAAAATGGATAACCAACAAAGACCTACTGTGTAGCACAGGGAACTCTGCTCAATATTATGCAACAAGCTAAATGGGAAAAGAATTGGAAAAAGAATAGATACATATATATGTATATCTGAATCACTTTGCTGTACATCTGAAACTAACACAACATTGTTAATCAACTATATTCCAATATAAAATAAAAAGTTAAAAAACTGATTGGGTCTGGACAGAGTTTATGACATAAAAGCTTTTGATGGCTGAGCAAAGTTGGTGAGGGTCTGGAGGAGACACTTGATAAGCCCTATGTTAGTCATGACATTTAAGTAACTTCTGTTGCTTACACTCTTATATTCCTGGAAGAAGTCTTTCTGGAGCCAGGAACTAAGTTATATTGCTTGTTTTCAGTACTTCTTAACATTGAGAGAGAAAAATATCCCGTCTCGATACTGCTTAACATGGAGACAGGAAATTATGATGATTTCAGTTCTCATTTCCAACCCTGCAATTCTGTATTTCTCTTCTTTGCTATGGCAACATTTTCAGGAAAGTAGTAATAATGATCAATCTCACTTCTGACTTTTAAAATCATCTGTTCAACAATGAAAATACAGAACTAATTAATATGCAGAACCAAAAGTTTTCACCCTCACCTTGTATTTGATTGGACACATTGTGTAGTCACTAAAGACACTTGTTCATATAATAAGCACATTTTGAGAGCACATTACTTGTCAGTTGAACAGTTAAAAAAAGAACAACCAAAAGCGATTTTGTGTCCAAAGTATGTACAGGAATATACATTTATTGTAAGATCTAGAACTGTTCTAAAATACAATGTTTATTTTTTAAAAAAATTACGAACTCTGAGAATAATTTTGGACAAACATAGACTGAGTCATTGGGACAGACACACAGTAGTAACATAAAAGATGTCTACTATAACCAGGAAGGCTGAGCACATTTCCATGATGTCAAACTACTTGTATAGTTCTTCTAAAGACTAGTGGATCTGGTTGAGGCATAAGGATGGCACCAACATCTGATACTCAAATCTGCACACGTGCCCTATAGCTATGGAAAGATGTCGCTTGGTCACAGAGAAAATCCTCACAAGTTTTCAATCCTGAGCCTTTCATCAAAAGATAGGGATGAACATCACATAACCTTGAAATAGCACTGCTTGGCTCATTTAAAGTGACTGTCTATTAATGCTGACATTTTCTGTTGAATACCCATTGTATGGCTTCGGG